GGATAGCAAGACTCAAGTGCACTCGCGATTAGTGAGTTACACATAAAGACATACAGGAACAAACCAAAGGCTGTCTGACTGAGTATTTGCGTCGTATGTACAATTATGCACCATCACACACGTCTCGTGCCACAGGAGGCTGACAATGATGGGGGAGAGCAGACGATGCTTCGTTCGGCCTCTTTTGCAATTGGGCGTAAGATACGCGAGCCATAGGAACGGATTCGGGGAGGCGTTTGAATAACTGGTAGGTGTCTGAAGCAAAGTGACGAGTATAATTAAATACAAATAAGTAGGATACTTTGAAAATAGAAAAGCTTAGATACCCAATCAACGAAGGCTGTGAAATCACTGACAATTGGAGAAACATAAAACAACAGTTTTTCTATTCGAAAAAAGAACTACCCGAAAGAATTTATTCAATTTTGAATGGATAGTACCTATGATATATTCTCCTATTCACTGTAATCCATTTGGCTTGATGCGTTTGGTCTGCATGAGAATGGTGGGCAATCGAGTTCCCTGTTAGAAAAGAACTATTATGATGGCAAATAACGGGTACTGGATAGAGGTTCTGTTCTGTTCAGGACTAATTTACAATTCCTCGAGTAGAGCTATCGTTCGAAGATCACCACATTGTATACAAGCCTCCAGTAACCTATGGAATTAATGCGTGCTACCAGCAATTATCACGTGTCGATTCGGGACTGGGTTAAACTGATGAATGAGAATAACACTAATCGAATTCCTTATTGAGCCATGACGAAAATAAAATTAGTTTCTGTTGATTGCTGTTTGAAAACGGGACATAAACTATGCTGATGCCACAATCATTCTGCACAATCTATTAGTATGACAAATGAATGCGTATTGTTAAGCATTTGTTTCATTGTTCATTACGGTTATATATGGACATGTGTTGGTCGATCCGATCGATCAAGGAGGACGATCAAACCATAATACCATTACGTTCAATGTTAGTAATCATTCCAAAACCTTCGCATTTTGTCTGGGTTAGAATACGGAAATCGAGATGTTCTGTTGTCAATTATTCTATTTTTTTCCGAAATACTAGGCCATCAGCATGACCAGCTTCATCAATACGGCTGCTCACATCAACAGTCGTGTGTGCATGTGCATGCTTTCTTTCAAAAATATCTGCTTCAGTTTTAACAACCATTAACCATGTAAATTCGTGCGCCGGTTTTGGTTGCTGTCTCACGAATGCCCATTTAGCTAAAAGAGAAGGAAGCTTGGAACGTTGCGAGTAGAGTCAAGGAGGAGATAGAGGCTTCACATGGACCAAGGTTGCAAGGATAATGAGTATAGGCACGAGCACCACTGTTTTTGACACTCAGCCGTATCACTTATTATCTCTAACCCCCGGTTACCGTGATCTCAGGATCTCAGGAAGCCTAACGGTACCCATGTGACCTAAAGTCCTGGTTAGGGTTTTCATGTCCCCATGCTAGGTCTTAGTTTGACAGCCCTTGACCTTTTCCTATCCGCTGCCTGTCTTGGCAAACATCGCGCGCCGTAACAACCTATTAGTGGCATGCGCAATACATGTCGCAACCACCGTGGTCTATGGGGGTCGATCACTTGTTCCAGTGGACGACCGTAGTTACCTAAAACTCTGGGCCAAATCTTAGTGTTGCTTGTCCGATTTCTCTACCAGAATCGTGCAATGCGATGTAGACAGCGGTGTCTGAACACCGATAGTCTATCTTTATCCTGTTTTTTCTTAATGGCCAAGTCTCCGCACCGTATAGTAGAATTGGCCGAATTGTTGCAACATACACTCGACCCTTCACAGACAACCGAATGTTGCCAGAATGTGCCACAGATGTCTCAAGTTGGCAAATTTCAATTGGGCCTTCTGTATGCGTGCCGACACTTCATCCGTGAGGCGTCCACTTATAAAATATCCAAGGGACAATACTTCGAAAAAGCTGCTCCTGAGGTGTTCATGTGGGAATCAGTGCCATGATTCTAAGCCGATACATTTTGGAATGAGAACTAGCCTCTACTAACTAAACTGGGAGCCCGATCTTTGATTATTGTTCAATAAAAAATTAATTAAACCATACTGAGACACCTTGAAATGATACTCAGACAACTGGAATTGCAAAAGGTATAGAAAGAGAGCCCGTGTTTTCTTAATATGTAGAGCCAGTATCGGGAAGTTAAGCTAAACGGAACTTACAACATATACAGACAAACTCACTCGAAGTAGAAAAGTTTGAGATTCGAACACAGCCACATGGCCCCACAGACGAAAGATGAGAGGATCGGGAGAAGATGAATGCATAACGACATCCTTGATCAACCGGTATTCCGCCACGGTTTTTGGGAATCGACCGTCCGTAACTGATAGATACCTGGATTCTCATACAGTCGCGTCCAAGCGGTCCCATTCGTCAACAGTTCACGTGTTGTTGCAGATTGTCCAACTACGGGCACCCATCGGTAGCCTGCTAACTGACCTTGACGAGCTAACTGATAAGCTTGTTTGAATGTCCACAGATAATTCAAGCCGAGAAAATGCGTAGCCGAACTACTCTCAGCCATTCGATCCATTGCCGACTCGGGATAACGGGCCGGATCGATCAAGTCAAGTTGTTGAGCCATTAAAGCTTCACGATACCAGGCCAACTGTTCACCGCGTTTCTGAGCATCCCAAGCCACTTGATCCCACGCTTCTGTCCAGCTGGATGCAAATCGAATGCGCCACTGGAGAGCACCGCGAGTAAGCCACACCTCGTTGTGTCCACCAGTGGGAACAAGAGTCAAATTATGTCCCGTCGGACGGTGATAGACTGGAAGGCGGAGTCCCAATAGGGTCAAATCGTCGACCAGACTAGATGCACCAAATCCAAGACGTGAGAATGATTGAACAAACAGACGACTGTTAGGCGTATCTGTCACGGTCCACCAGTCCATGAGTCGAGTTCCACTTAGAAGAAGATCGGCCAGCTTTCCCGATTCGAACGGATTTTTATAGCCACTTGGATCGATCAGGTCCGCACGACCAGAGGCACGAACTTGTACGAGTTGATCGTCAGTCAACTCCAAAATTACCTGAATTTTTCGAAAGGTAAGCAAATATAAGCCATCAATTCGTAGCAAAAAAGAAACAATCTTTGGACACAAATTAAATGTTATTTTCCATTCAGGAGGCAAATGAAAACTCGTCGAGGAGTTTTTGAACTAGACAGAAAAACGAGAACTGGGAGTAAATACAAATAAAAAGCGAATAAGCATACACGAGATAAGGAAAATTTTATTTTTAAGTGGATATCAAACAAGGAGTGTTGGGTATCCAAACTACACCCATGGTACATACATTTGCCTCAGGGCATTTTGTGGAGCGCTGTGCTATTCTTTATTCTCATCTATTGATTTCAATTGAATTGCAGAAAAATCAATCATTGGAAATGCTAAATTGCTTCGTATTTCGTTAGCATTATCCCCAAATAGCCCTTAGAGTTCTTGTCAATGGATATGTCTTACTCAATCACTTTTGAACAATAAATTGAACTTATTTCGTACCAGACTCCGATTTTGAATTCCCACTGAATACGAACCTTAAAACTCTGATCAGATATTGATTGGCATTTAAGTTTGTATTGGAGTCCTTTTGACAAGCATTAGAGCTCGTATTTTAATTGAAAAATGGCTATTGAACTCATGCAACTCCACCCTTAACTTATCAATGCCAATCAATCAGTTTTAATGTACTAATGAAAATAGATAACGTATGCAATGATCATTCTATGAAGTAATGGTAAAGGTCAACAAGGTGAGAAGATGACTACGCGGGATAAAATACACCCATTTCGTGCGCGCGCGCACACACACACACACACACACACAATGCATGAGATCATTCCATAACTCACCCCAGAGTCAAACATGGTCTGAGCTGGCAACAACTGTACGCGTCCCGTATCACCGGAATGCAATGGTCTAAGGAAAAAGTCCGGTAATCCGGTACCTTGAACACCACCAGTGGTTAAATGACTTGGTTGTATCACACTGAGCCTTTCCAATTTGTTGTTCAGTAGACGAACGGCAGGACAAGTACCTTCTCCACCGGAGATCGAAGTCCCAGTTAGGCTGAATTGCACAGGAAGGACGGGAAGTTGCCATTGTTGTCTGGTTGCCACTGTTGCTCTAGTTCCTCCTCGGCTCGGCCTATTCAGTCGACCGGTCCCCGAGTCCAGTTGAGGCAGTACTCCATCCAGACGAAAGCCCACATAGTTGAGCCACCAAGACGGATATTGTATGGCCTCAGAAACACGAGCCAATAGACCGGCAGGTCCAATGTCATGATCCTGTTGTTCAAGGTTACCCCATCGATGCGTGTCTAAGACACTTGGGTCCCGGTACACCTCAGGAAGACGATCAGAAACCAGACGACGCCAATCGGGACTGACGAATGTGGCTCCCGAGGGATCGTAAGCCCGGTAGGTAGGGGAACAGAACAAGAACCCAGTATGTACATCCACCAAACATCCAGCATGACCGATTGGAATGTTGGCGTCCTCGAGGATGGAAGCACTGAAAAACTTGTTCCGATTTGGAAAACTGAGACGACGACTACCAGTTGCCGAGTATTCCGCAGTCCATGAGGGCTAGACAGAGAGAAAAGCAAGCTCAGATTGAGAAGAGAGGGCAAACAACAACAGTAACACCACAATAGTTTCTAGTAATTTTTACCACCAGCACTGCAATTCAAAACTAAACCCTGGGAAAACCAATAGGAAAATGACAGGGATCAGAAAATCCGATCATCGTCTTGGCAATGTTCAGAGAAACTGAGTACAACTCACTTTTCCATTCTCCGAGAACATAGCGGTTGGCGCTCCTTCGTGATTAGTGATGACAAAGTACATGTGCTTCTGATTACCGTCTGCAGTCTTCTGGGCCTCACGTGGTTCACTTGATCCGGTCGATGTGGTCCCGGAGCGTGCCTCACTGGTTGAATCTGGAAGTCGAGCAAATTCTTCCACGGCGAACAAGTGTCCTTGTACGGGGTCATAATGCAACCGGAATGTGACCAGGCGACCGTGGTTGAACACATGTGTGATCCGATGTAGATGTGTGGGATCTGCATAGAAATATTGCATTAGATCACGCACAATTAGTGTGTCTCGGACAACAACCAAGCGATCTTGTGCGTCGTAGACATATTGGACTCGAAATGCACGTCTGGATCCAATATCATCTTCCAGAGGAGATCGATCCAAATTATGAAACATGTCGGAACTCATAGGACCGGAATTGGAACCGGACATGGTCGCCGCCCCGTTTGCGGCAGTCGAACCGGACAAATTGTCCGAGTCCGTGGCCAGTTTACGTTCCGCCCAAATCAACAAACCTTTGCTATTGTAGGCAAACCGATCCACAATACGGTTGTTTTGCAGTCGTCGCTCAGTCAAAAATCCATCGTCATCAAAAGTGTATTGCCAATTGCCTCGACGTTTCAGTAAGCCTCTGGCATCGTACACAAATTGCAATTCCTCCGATCGACTTGTCGGTCCTGCATCCACACCTGACGGCGGTCCAATTGGACTGCCATGATGTAGTTGTGGATCGGAGACAGCGATACGCAACCGAGCTAGGCGACCTTCACTATTATGCACGAGTACACTGTGCGAACGGAGACTGGATCCGGCTTTCTCTCGATCCAAGGCTTCAAGACGTCCACCTGGTCCATGCACGAAATTGATCCAACGAGGTACTTGACCACGCTGTTCTTCGCGCTGCTGGGCGGCTTCCAACGAATTGGCCCGATAAATGACCGATAGGTTGTAGAGCGGATCACGTCGCGAGGAGAGCTGTGAGATAGGGGGAACGTGAAAGTGATTAAGGTTAATAATCGCTGACTGTAAGAAATATCACTCCTTCGATCCGATAAAGTGTTCAGTTTGGTTTCAATCTACAAATAATTCAAGCACCAGCTGGTAATAGTCTGAATGAGAATTCTGATTAGACAACCTCCTCAGTGATCTCATTCGGGTAAACTGCATTGACGACGTCGAAAATCATCAATCCTATGCAAAATTAGTACCCGTCATTTTGTTTACACTGATTTTTTATCAGAATAGCCAGCGTATAATTTCTTAAATTGACCAGATTGGCTATTTGCACTGAAGCCCCTAGGAGTCGGTTCGATTTAGAGATCCGGTAATAGAAATGTTCTCCTCTTGACACGCAAACGGGGCGGAGATTATGGATAATTAAAGATGTCAATATAAGCAAAAAGTGAACGCCTTTCTGTAGTGGTGGCGTTGCCGATGGTGGTGAACGAGGAGGAGGGGGAGGAATTCGAGTGAATCATCTAGGGAAACGATGTTGACACAAAACCATCAGAATGGGATAGTCTGAAGGACGGTCTGGGGTGTCATAAACCGGGCGCCTAAAATTTGGGATTCCAGCGCTGATTAAGAGAAGCCACACAATTTTAACATCAGTAATTGATAGCGAGGAATCGCATTTTTTATAGACTTGCCCAAGAGCATTATTTTCCGTACAAAAATTGGTTTCGTTGTTCAGGACACAATTCATTCGTACAGTGAGTTCTCCAGTCCACGAACGCACGCACACACACGCAAGTAGACAAAGCAGCACCGCGCTAATTCAATCCTAATTCAAAGTTCTACATTGGGTCTTCGAAATAAATAGCCTAATTGGTTCAAAATTCGAGGACATACATCCGCGGTTATCAGAGCGACTGCCGGTTGCAGCTGTTCAGAACTATCAGAGACAAAATAATTAGCCGTGTTGTTGCGTTTCAGTCACTCTGGTCCACATAATTCCCTCTCACTCTACCAAAATCATACAAGGAACTTGGTTTCCACTACCCCTGGAGAATGAAGAATCCGTACCGTGGGTGATGAAGTGATTGAAATGGGTGATAGAAGCGAATATTGTCCTGATTGATTCCTGAAAAGACGAATAGAGAAATGTATATTGATGTCTGTTGATGCGTATGGTTTGAGTATGACACATGGGAGGAGATATTTCATTCAGTATCATTTTGCCACGCACACAATGCTTGCTGTCTTACCGGGTAGAGTACGACCTGCTTCAGTCTACCCTGGTTGTCCAATTGCCGGCACAACTGCAGGCTCCTCGGGGCGTAAGTGATACAAATAGACGACGCTCGATGCACAATATCCAGATCCCGTATACTGAGCAATTGTCCAGTGATGAAATCATATTTGGCCACGGTCTGCTCGTCCAGGATTACTCTGTCCATGTTCGAACCAAAGACTTCGGTATCCGTTTGCCTAGACTGAGTGTACAGTTGGGTATGGATGCCAACCAACTAGAGTTGGGGCCCGTAGAGAGCAAATAGGAATAAAGGATCAGAGAAAAGTCGATTGCACAACCACACCCGAGTACAAGAAAATACAGATAAGAGACAAAGTCAACCGACATGTGCAATCAAATGAACTAAGGATACACATAATATAAATGATAGAAGGAAAATGTGAAATGAAATGTGATCGAAGAATGTTATAAATCGGATGAAACACTGCAGAATTTCGTGATGAAATCGTTATTTTAAAATATTATTTTGCTTCCTCTTACAACTACTGGTGAGTAGTAATGTGGAATATATATTCCTACCCCCACCCCCAGAAACAAATGGGAATTTGATATACGGTGCAGTGAAAATGACCAATCGACCCAAAGTTGGAAACGTCTCAGATGGAGCAGGGTGGGTGTCGAAATCTCGATTACACACTGCGTTACTAGATGAGTGCGTCTTTGTCCGCGCGCGTGCACCTGATCAGAACATGAGAACTTCGGTGAGGTGATCATCGATCGACATGGAACCGTTTATGGCAGTCATGTCACAGGGGGCGGTGCTCTTGAGCGAAGCTGTACAAAGTAATAATATGAGGCTTCAGTTTATTGTTTTTCTTTATTGAAAATAAACAGAATGTGTACTTGGCTGCAAAAAGAAGATTGGATCATATTTTCGGTGGAATCTCCGAGGATAAAATCCAAGCCTTCGGTTTTCAGGTTCAAGAAATTGAATGTAAATAGAAATGTGTTTTTTTATAGGTGAAATTTTGTCTGTTTGTTATTTGCATGTATTCAACCACAATAGACCCATGTTATTTTTGGATGTATCTTCATAAATTTTCTAGTCAGACTGATAAACAACTTGAGGAAATGATGCAGACTGATGATAGCAGGAAGTCCGGAGAGCCGAACACAGTCCCCTGTGGTGGTCACATTGGGCCACGGAGATCATTTGACGCGATTCACGACAAATCATAGCGTCGTGTTGTCTTGTTGTAGGTTTTTCGAATCGGGGAACTCTATAGCAGTACTACCTATATTACGTAAGTTGGTTTTTACCCAACCACAGGCGATCAGTGAAGTTGGTTTCACTGTATTTCAGTGTACGATAATGATGATGATGATGATAAGTCGCAAGTGTACGCTAAAGTTCTGGGTAAATGACAAAAATTTTGGTGCTTTTTGCCATTTTTAGAACAGTAGAACTTTCTTCTGTTTGTTAAGTGAACGAAAAGCCAGATTAGTAAAATTAACTGTGCGTAGTACTGCGGGATAAATGATACTGTCTTTAAACTCGATCTTCATGCATAACCCTTAGGGCATCCGATCCTGAATGAACATTTGACTGGATGGGCCCAGGATTGTACCGGACCATTAGATCTGAAGGATGGTCAGTTAATACCAAGAACTGCCAAGGTGACTGATTTACCGTCAAAATAATTTCTGCGGTCAAGGCTGATAATCGAAGATTGATCTCGTCACAGTAAAATTGTCATTTACATGATTGTACTACTCATGAGTGATCAAACTGCATTTCAGTCCCAAACGAGGTAGTTGTTCACTCACATTCAAATTTTGATTGTATGTGTACACGTGTCGGGCATGTAGCAATCCACCCAAATTCGGATGAGCATTTCGTGCACCGGGTATGTGCTGCTCGATTCTGGCTGAGATTAGCAGTGTACCGCGATAGGTTCGCCACATGTTCCACCGATAACCAGAACTAACATCAGACATTTGGACAAACGGAGCTGAGTCAATTTGATTCAATTGAGACCCACGTTCTTCCATTCCCAAAAGATGCCACTGGATCAGGGTTTTATCATAGATCAGCTGATTCTGTTCGGGCGAAGCAGTAATTCGACGATAACCACTGGGCCAGATAAACCGTAACAGTTCCAGGCCCGAATGGGGAGCATTGGTGTCGATGGATCTGCGTGAGGTGGACGTATGGTTGAAATCTCGACCCCACTCATAGATCCATGGGGCTGGGCTACCGGGCCATGGTGTGTAGCGTAGCTGATGTGTGCGTAAACCAACAAGCCGCGAAAAATCACGCCGAAGTCCAGACGGGGTGAGAACACGTGTTAGACCAAGTGGTATGGCTGATACTGCATCGTCGACGTGTGCGGAATCCACATGTCGTTCCATGGGGGAGAGCGGGGCACTGGCGTAGAACAGCTTGAATGCACCTAAACCACTCACCGTGACAACAGAGGGCTGAGAAACGGAGGTGAGGGGTGGAGAAACAGCCAAATATCAGCGAACGTAACTAACAGTTGATAAGAGTGAGAGGAAAAGAGAGAAACACCGGCTCTTTTGTTGGAAGCGACGAGTCACACGTACTAACGTGTTACCTGATGCTTAGACAGAATCAAATTTGAAATTTCGTTTCAAATATATAAAATCAGGTAATCTTTGCTATTTTATTTTTATCTACCGGTTCGATGATATGCATACAGAATACTATTCAGCCACGACGTTCGAAATTAAATTGGAAGTGTGAACAGTATTTGAGAAAAACACGAGACACGTTTGAGTATATCCAATATGCTTTTTACCCGTTTGGATCGGTGTTTAATAAAGAACTACAGAATTGTGGCACGGAGTACGGAATTACATCATATCCTCTCCATTGTAGTGAACCTCAGTGAGCATCATTACTGCTCAGATTTAAAATGAACTGTTCCGGAAACGACTTATTATTATTATTGCTTGTTCGAATACTTCGATCAATGACTAGCTTTAAATCAATCCGTTCAAAATATTTAACACATCACATGTTTCAATGCCGCATAATTACATTACACATGTCTGAGTTGCACTAATTAACAATAAACTGCCAACGCGTTTAAAATATCGGATTGAACCGAGCCCATGCTCCTAAGTGTCGCTTGTCCAATGTAAAATTTTCAGATTGGGTTGGGTGTTCCTTTATTCCCCTTGAAGTTATCTTGTATCAAACGAATCGTCCTTTCCAAACGGCGCTACTATTTTTACATGTGCTCTCTCTTCGCTTCTAGGGGATTCGAGACATGTGGATGTGATAAAAAGTGACTGATGTCAAATAAAAACAGGAGTTAATAGAATCATATTATTTAGGAGAAATATTCAACAACGGAACAAGAACGGCGAACGGAACTTACCTGATATGGCAATCGTTCGTCTGTGTATTGATAAGTCACCGTTTCCATTGAGCTACCAAGGTCCGCGGCGGTTAGTCGGTTTNGGTGAACCGATAAACCGCATTACCCCAGTGAAACGCATTCAGCTGACCGTTGCTGCAATTATGAACGGAATGGAAACTAAGGTCATTCAGAGCAGCGCGAGATGGGCAACATCAGCCAATTCATAGTGTCCCGTTTGTCAAGCTAACTACGTTGACTGAATGCAAATATGGCATTTGTAATACCTAAAGCTTACATTCAGTTTACTACTGGCGCATCTTTGTCCTGCTCGGTATGATAAGGGGCACCGAAATGGATTTAGTAGCTGATATATATGTGCACAGTGTGTGTGTGCATTAGAGACAACTAAAAATGCAAACTCTGAACGAACCTATTATAAGTCAAGCTTAAGGGAGCCGGACCAATCGAAGACGGGATGGCTTGATTGCCGTAATCTGATGCACCCGTGGAGCCTCGGGAACGTCCCCGACCAGGATCAGGCAAATAGTCCGTATGTGAATCCAAACTGTATGCCGTG